GTGATAACTGCCTCGGAAACCTAAGGAGGGGTCTCTATGAGTCGGGGCTGACTCGACGGCATACAACAACAACAACTGCATCCTATTAAGGCACAGAACAAATGAAAACCATATAGGTATGTGGATTCAACTGTGTGTTTCTGCCAATGGCTTAGTTAACATAAAACTTGAATTCCGAAGGACATCTATAATGTGTCCTATTTGAAGAGGTCTATATTGATCTGTAAATATTTAAGTTAGTACTGTTGTTTTTTTGTCTCCATAAATACTTCTATAAAAGCACTGCCAGTGAGTTCATCTGACTCACAAAGACACTTTAGCACATTGTAGAACTATCCCCATAGGGCAGAAGCTGACTGCCACACCTGTCTCTCACCGAGGTGCTTGTGGGTTTGAACTGCTGACCTTTGCATTAGCAGTTGAATGCTTTAACCACTGAGCCACCAGGGCTCTTATTAATCACTTCAACTAGACTTCATTTAACTAAATGTTTTCATCTTGATCCATTATCAATTTAGGCTACACTTAGAAATATCATCTGCTCTTCGGAAAATGGGAGACTATTTGTAGGTAATTTACCTAAACTGAAAAGGTCATAAATTTTATAAACATATTGTTTTCATTATTCTCAGAGTAAATAAATATTACTTAAGTCTTTGATACACATTCAACCCCTGAAAACATGAAAAATGTGGGTAGTCATCATGATTTTGTTTATAAAGCATAAAATGGCAAAATGTTGACTGTGGCTCTTAGGTGTTCTTAAATTTAATTTACTGCAATTTCATGCCTCCTGCAACGCACAGTAGAAATAAATACATTTTACATGCTGAAACATGGTTTGATTCTTTCACTAAAGTGCTGATATGCAGACTTAAACTTTAATCCTGGGTGGTGAATGTATTACATGTTTCTAACCTACAGATTCTCTTACACTTAACTTCTTGAATTCAAAACAACTTATGTTTTCAGGTCTCCTATGTGTTACTGTAGGAGCTCTGGTAGCATAGTGCCTAAGGCACTTGACTGCTAACCAGGAGGCTGGGGTCACCAGCCACTCCTCGGAAGGAAGATGGGGCAATCTACTTCTGTAGTGATACTGCCTCAGAAACCCAAGGAGGGGTCGCTATGAGTCGGGTCTGACTCAAAGGCACATAACAACAACAACATGTGTTACTGTAATACACTCTCTTAGCCACTAAGATGTAGGGAGGGAATGACATAGTCTCTGTTTTCAATGAATATACAGATTTGAAATGGCTCAAAGTTTGAATTATTAAATGGTTGCACAAAATTTAAAAATAGTTTGTATGCTGTCATTTAATGAATGGTCCTTTATTTGCTTTATTGCACTCTATATTTATGTACATGCCACATGACAAATTTCTCCCTGATGTGGGTATACATAT